AGGCAGTATCACTACGGAAGTAGGATTGCCCAACCTTCCTTCCGAGGAGTGGCATGTGGGTTTGAACCGCCAGCTGTCTGGTTAGCAGGCAAGTGTCTTAGCCACTATGCTACCAGATTCATAGGGATCCTATATTGCAGAGCAGATTGTTAGGTCTTTCCTCCCACTGGGGGGTTTAAACTGCCAACATTTTGGTGACCAGATGAACACTTAACATTAACACCAGAGCTTGTTATCAGCACGTTAAAAAGGGCAAATTAACAAATTTCCTTAATAAGGGATAACATAAGATATGTAGATTCTTTGTTGTGAGAAGTCTTGCTTAAACAAGTGTATCTCACTAAAACATGAGATAGAGGGAAAAAAAAAAAACAGTTTCTCAGTCATGCTTTTGAAAAACTATATTGAAAACTACAACAATAACAAAACTCTTATCTTAACATAGCAAAGGAAGAAGGATGGAATCTTATAATACTACCCAAATTTCTTTCCCCGTGAAAGCAGATGCAGAGTTTCTTGGGGGTTTGGAAGGTTTTTCTTTCAAAGCCAGGAGAGTCTGCTGTGAGGAAGGAAGTAGGGATCTGAAATGGTGATTCCTGTTGGATGAAAGAGCCAGTCTATCCCAGCTCTTGTTCTTCCATTCTAGAAAAGGCACACACTCAATAAACCCTTTCTCATAGCTCATCCTTTCCTGTTCTGTGATTGAAAAGGCAAAATTTCTTCCCCTATGAGTTTGTCCCATGTATAACGCCCTTCCCAAGTGCTGAGGAAGCCCAGCAGCAGTAGCAATAGAAGTTAGCCTAGGAGTAATGAGAGAGTGCTCCCTGGTGGGAGTGGAGTCAGAGTGATAGCGTGACAAGCAAAGTTTCTATCCAAGCACTTCCTATCCAAGTTACTTTTATGTATTAGGTCAGTCAATCCTTAAAGCAGTCCTATATGGGAAGTAATGATAATAATGATAATTGAGATCTTACCATACACATCATATGCAGCCACTACCTGTCTGTCCGTGGAGGCTTGCATGCTGCTATGATGTTGAACAGGTTTCAGGGGAGCTTGCAGACTAAAGCAGACTAGAAAGAAAGGCCTGGTGATCTGCTGATAAAAACCCTATGGAGAACAATGATTCAGTCCCCAGCAGAACATGGGCATGGCCCAGGAGTGGCGGCATTTCATTCTGTTGTGCATAGGGTCTCCATGAGTCAGAGGCCAACTTGATAGCAGCTAACCACCACAACAGTTACACACCAAACACTGTTCCAAGCACTTTACATGTATTACTTCATTTAATTCTCCAACAAGCCACTGAAGTAGGTTTTCAGAT